CACTGTGACCAGTGTCCGGTACAGGTGAGACACACATCCACAGATCCACTGTGACAGTGTCCTGTACAGGTGAGACACATCCACAGATTGACTGTGACAGTGTTCGGTACAGGTGAGACACACATCCACAGATTGACTGTGACAGTAACGAGCGGCGACCCTCTGTCTTCTGGTCAACCGTGGTGCGCATGAAGATAATCGGCCGGACACAGACAACAGCTTGAGACACTGGACGACAAAGGCCACCACAGCTCATCGACTCTTCTAAACCCACAGTTTTCTGACGATCTGACATTCCCAGACAGGCGACGGGAGATCACAAGACAATCAAAGCGTACATAAATACCGCGTGGGTTACTGGGATTTTAGAATTACCTCGGACCAAGAAAAAACGGAAAGAGGTCTGAGGGAAGAGGGGGAGGGGGTGCTCTCATTTCCCAGAAAATGCCAAGTAAAATTAGTCGGACAGGTTTGACAAGGGTTGTCATAGAGGAGGATCTATGAGCCAGACACACAGACTGACGCTCACGACAGAACGATGTCGCGGCCACCAAACATTTCTCAGATTGTCTGAACCAATCCTGGTTTGCTGCCTACCGTGCGAACATACAACACGGACATGCGCTCAGATGAGCCCGCCACAGATTCCAAGCTAAATGACAATAAAATAAAAATACACCTCCAAAAAATAGAACAACCAAACTGTCATAATATACCTTGCCGAGGCACAGGTGAACTGTAAAAAAGATTACATGTAGTTTTGTTTCAGTAAGAGCTGCAGTAAGAAAAAACAATTATCACGGCTAAATCCCACCAAACAAGGATTGCAATAACAAGGACGATAAAACCAACACCGACAACAACGAACAACGGAATCACACATGGCAGAGAATGACAAAGATGGAAGCAACCGTAGAAATATAACAACAACTACAACAATCACAACAACGATAACAACATCAATAACAATAACAACAACAACAGCAACACAACAACAACCACCACCACACCAACAACAACAACAACAACAACAACAACAACCACAACAACACCACCAACAACAACCGCAACACCATCACCACCACCACCAACAACAACAACAACAAAAACCACAACCACAACACCAACAACAACAACACCATCACCACCACTACCACCACCACAACAACTACACCACAACTACCAGCACTCACCTCGAGTTGAGCCGAATCAGCTGCGTTGTGTGTCCAGTGTTTGGAGCGACGGCGGCTGGCTCTATCGGAAACTCCCTCATCAACGACACAGACTGCCGGGGACTCGACCCCACCACCTCCAGGTGCAACATGCTGCACACGCTACTCACTCGACCACCCACACACGCTACTCACTCGACCACCGACACACACGAGGGGTGAACACAACACACACAGAAAGCTCAGACCGCGGGAGAATGAACACACATCCCAGTCACATGGTTCTCGCGGAGGCTTTCTGGATGTTCTGTTTCGCTGGGGTTGAATCCCCCTTTTGCTTTATTGTCTTCTCAAAATCCAGAGCGGGTTTTTTTTTTCTTTTGTTCTTTTTATTATCTTCTAGAAATCCACGGAGAAGCAGAAGCTTGTTTTGTGGGGGTTTCAAGATGTTCTGCTTCGCGGTTTTTTCTCCTCCTTTGTTTTATTATCTTCTCTAAAAATCCAAAGAGAATCTTGTTTTTGAGGGGCTTTCTAGAAGTTCTGTTTTGTTGGGTATTTTTTCCCCTTTGGCAGTTATATTTACTATCTTCTAAAAATCCAAAGAAAAGTCTGCCCTTCACCAGACCCGATCCTCGACTACACGTCACAAACACCAGGGAGGAAGAACACAACCCACACCACACCACACGACTGTCCACAGGAGGCCTCTCTATTACGTCACACAGAATCAGATGAGGCAGCTAGCTGTACAGTTTCCACTGCGACACCTCCCGGGTACAATTATTATATCCGCGCTCGGCTCCCGATGAGTCTGACTCAAGTCGTTCCTGGAAAGCGATCTGTCGCAAACACGATATTGTGAACCTTCCTAAGTCGAAGCTGAATCTCCCAAACTTGTG